ATGGCGTGGTTTTGGTCTTTTATTGTTTTAATGTATTTTACGTTAATTGAGACTTGATATTAAATCCTTACATTCTTGGCATAAATCCTTTTTATCACTGTGTATTATCTTATATGTTGCTGGACTTTTTTTGTAAATATTTTGTTGAAGATTTTTTGTATGTCTATTCATATGGGATATTCGTCCTTAGTTTTCTCATGAAATCTTTATCTGGCCTTGGTATCAGGAAATATTGGGTTCATAAATCAAGTTGGGAAATGTACATCCCTCTTCCATTTTCTGGAAAAAAATTGTGAAGGATTAGTTTTTCTTCTTTAATATTTGATAGCATTCAATTAATCTATCTGGGTTTGGGCTTTCTTTTCTTGTTATATGTTTATTTAGGGTTCGTATTTCTTTTATGAGTTAGTTCTTATAATTTGTGTCTTTCTTGAAAATTTTTTGTTTTAATTAAGTTGTCTAAATTATTGGCATAAAGTTGTTTATAATAGTCCCTTATTCATTGAATTAATCTGAGATTCTTCATGGTGTTCCTCTATTCATTCCTAATTTTGGAGTTTGTGACAATCTTCCTAAAAGAGTCGATTATATTGATCTTTTCAAAGAACTAACTTCTGATTTCATTGACATTTTTTCATTTTTGAATATTGTTTTCTACTCTGTTTTTTATATCATTCCTACTTCGTGTGGGTTTAGAGTTTCTATTTCATTTCTTAAAATAGAATCTTACATTATTGATTTGAGATTTTTTTTCGATATTGGAGTCTAAAGCTATACAATTTCCCTGAACTGTTGCTTATACTACATCCTATATGTTCTTTTACATTATGTTTTCATTTTATTCCATCATAAATATTTTCTGATTTCCTTTTGACCCATAGATTAGTTTCTAAGTATTTGTGGATTTCTGAAATTTTTGTTGCTAGTTTAATTCTGAATTCTAGTTTAATTTAGAATTGTAGCCAGGGCATATATAGTGCATGATTTTAATCCTTTAAAATTTATGAGGTGTTTTGCAGGGGGCCTGTCATATGGTCTATGCTGAAGGATATTCTGTGTGCACTGGAAAAGTATGTATATTTTGTTGTTGGGTAAAGTATTCTATAGATTAATCAGGTCACGTTAGTTGATAGTGTTACTCAAATTTGCTATATCCTTGTTGTTTATCTGTCCAGTTTTATTTATTATTTTAAAAAGTGGCATTAATGTATATTATTATTGTTGAATTTTCTATTGTTTCCTTCATGTTTGTCAAATTCACTTCATGTATTTTGGTGGTAGTATTAGTTAAGTTTATGCTTATACAATTTTTCTATCTTCCTAATAATTGACGTCATTATGAAATAATGAAATAATCATTGTAAAATGTCCTACATATCTAGAATAACATTTTTGTCTGAAAGTCTATTTTGTCTGGTATTATTGTTATTATTATTCCAACTTTATGATTACTGTTTGCATGGAATATCTGTTTTTCATCCTTTTACTTTCAATATATTTATATCTTTGAATATAAGATGTATTACTCTACTTAAATCTGTTTTATTCAATTTGACAATTTTTGGTTTTAATTGTACTAATCACCTTATATTTAATATCATAATTTATCTGGTTGAATTTATATGTACTACCTTGCTATCTCTTTTCTATTTGTTTGCCTTTTTATTACTCTGTCTCTCCAATTCTAAAATATTGTCTACTATTACCTACCACTTTCATCTTTTGTCACTTTTTAATACTTTCATATTACATACAGTATATCTTAATTCATTACAAGCTACTTTAGAGTAATACCAACTCAATCTCACCTTACTATAGAAACTTTGCTCAAAAATTGTTCCATTTACCCCATCCTTAGTGCCAAAATTACTGTAAATATTACATCTTTATATGCAATAAACCCAATAGTTACATATTCTTATTTGTGTAAAATAACTTAATGAGGAAGAGAGTGAGGAATATTTTC